CATTTATATTTTGAGCTTTATATTAAGATGTAACCTCTAAAAACAAAGTGATATATCGCTTTTGGTGCTTTTACTGTAGTAAATATTTATATGAAATATTCAAATAAATCTTATAAATATTTTGTAAATGTTTTATGAATATTTTGTGCTGTCTGGGTATACATATATATTCTATGAATATACTCGTAACATCCCTTATAGAAATATCATACTAAGAATCATTGATAATTACTTATTATCTAGTATTTTTAATATTGAAAATAAGTAATTATCAATGATTCTTAGTATGATATTTCTATAAGGAATACCAAAAGATATTTCTAATAAATTCTAGTAATATACTCAAAATATTTTGTTGATATACTGACAATATACTGACAATATATATAAGTAATATTTTCAATATACAGGGTATAAAAAAATTAGATCGACAAACTTTGAGGGGAAATAGAGGACATAAAAACAAACATATTTTGTTAATAATGTTTTTCTCTACGACGCTTCGTTTTAATACTACAGGGTACAAAATAGGAATTTTATGATTTTAACAAAAAACAAACATAAGTGGAAAAATTAAATTTATTTTAATTACACATATATTTTAATCTTTAACAAACAATGAACAAAAGAACAGAACAAAAATGCGCAATTGATTAGCTCAATTTATAATAAATATTCAAAAATTCCTTTATTTGCTTCAACACAAAGATAACATCGTCGAAATATTGATTGTTTCATACGCTCGAAGACTGCAGGAATATTCTGAACCTAATATGCTGCAGCAGTAATTCGGGCTACCAATTCTGCTTCTGTTTCAATAGGTGTCTCATAAATGAGAGTTTTCACATGCCCCCATAAAAGTGTTGAAGCAAATGGAGGAATTTTTAAACATTTATTATAAATTAAGCTAATCAATTGCGCATTTTTGTTCCGTTCTTTTGTTCATTGTTTTTTGAAGATTAAAATATATATGTGTAATTGAAATAAATTTAATTTTTCCACTTATATGTTTGTTTTTTGTTAAAATCATAAAATTTCTATTTTGTACCTTGTAGTATTAAAACAAAACGTCGTAGAGAAAAACATTATTAACAAAATATGTTTGTTTTTATGTCCTCTACCCTTATAGAAATGTAATACTGATAAGTAATAATTTAGCCAGTGATAATTACTGTCGTTCAATAATTTTATTACTCGTACGAGTAATAAAATTACTATTTATTACTGGCCAATTTATCACAGCCAGTGATACTTTTCTATAAGGGTATTTCCCCTCAAAGTTTGTCGGTCTAATTTTTTTACACCCTGTATACTGAATAAGCTTCGGTGAAAGACATAGAAACATCATCAGTACATTCTCAAAATATCATAGTACGTATTTCGAATATTCATAGAATATACCCTTATAGAAATATCATACTAAGAATCATATCATTGATAATTACTTATTATCCAGTATTTTTAATACTGAAAATAAGTAATTATCAATGATTCTTAGTATGATATTTCTATAAGGGTACACTATCTACGTTTACGATATACTGAGAACATGCTCAGAATCTACTTGTGCTGTATGGGTTTATTTATTAAAAAATATATTTTTAATAAAGATATATTTTTAAAATAAGACGTGATATCTAAAACTATCAATTTATTAGCAAAAATAAATACAATAAAAAAGAATAAAAAATTAAAATAGCATGTAATATTAAAAATTGTGGAGGAAATAAGAACCTTTTGGAGAAAAAGTTGGATAAAACAGAATGATATGGTAATGCAGGAACCTGTAAAATTTACCTACAGCCACCATTTTTTAATAATGTTCATAAGATGGTATTCATAATCGAATTTTATATAATACTGTCTTAAATTCATCTTCAGATATTTCATATTCAACGAAATAATTCGTATAACATCTGAAGATGAAACATCTGAAGATGAACTTAAGACGGTCTTAAATATAAGATCTGATTGTGTGAATACTGGCTTTAAAGTTCGCATGTGGTATATTTTTGTTATTGAAAAAATCAACTTTAAAGATAATTCAACAACAGTTAAACGCGTGAGACGAGTTATGCAATGATTTCAGTCGTTGTATCTTACGTAAATGTAGCGTGCTTCATATTTAAATAATATGTCACAAGTAACTAGGAAATAATAATATATCTCAGATTGTGATGAATCTATTCGGAATAACCTATTAAAATATGAAAGAATTTTAACCGATTGACCGAAATGGACTAGTCATCTTTGCATGTTTTTTAGAAACAATTTCTCCCACCAAAGTTAATTGTTTCAAACGCTCACCAAAATTATTATAGATATAGAAGAAACAATGAATTTGTCATAAATGATTAGAAGGTAAATAATAACATCTTGTATAGTTGATTGTTAGATTGTTTAGACACCATCAAGATGAAAACTCACCAAACTATAAAAATTAAGAATCAGTGGATGCTTTCCAATTGCTTAACACACTTTGACATCCACGTACACAAAACCAGTTTATTGGTTACATATTATCTAAAATATCTTATAAAATAATATGCAACCAATAAACTGGTTTTGTGTAACACAGTGTACGCAACTGGAAAGCACCCATTATGGAGACGTGCTTACGCAATAATAATGTATTAACATATATATTTAAAAACACTAAATGATAATAGATAATACTAATAATAATTAATAATAATAATTATTAATGATATAATTATTGGACAAACCCATTGCACACACATTAATGACTCTCAGTTTTGATAGTTTGGTGAACTCTCAAATTCATTGTATATAAAACGTTTTGCAACTCGCTGTAACACAAAGAAACGTATTCAGCTATATGATTATTCAGTTTATCGTTCTATTCTGATAATATTCTCTTGTATAATATAATAATAGTCTTTTAAAATATATTCGTCACAAATTTTAGAAAAATATATTATCATGCACTCAAAAGGTGAATTTGTTTTTGTTTTTACAAGAATATTATGAAATTATATCGAAAAAAAATTGTTTTTTATTTCTATGCAAACCATATTTTTATTTAAATTTTATATTTCTGATTGAAATACTAAACTTGCCAGGATTCAGAATGTAGTTTGAAAAAATTTAATGTTTATGATGAATTTATGATAAATTTGCAGCACGTATTAGTTCACTAACAATTGGTCGCTGTAGATTCTATAGGGTGAATAAAAAGTCCCGGACCGGTGAAACATCTCGAAAACTAAGCATTTCCGAAAGAAATGTTCTCTACAAAAGTTATAGGGTTTTAAATGATCTATTCACTGTGATCTGGTCAGTCTGACCCCTTGGGTGGCATCGCTAAAGTCAAGTTAAAATCAACTTTACTTTTTTAAATAGAAATATGTATTTTTTATTACGGAATTTTATTCTTTAATAATTTCTTACTCGAATTCTATCAACTTTACCGAAAAATGGCAAGAAATAAAAATTACTTATTTTTATCTCATAGAGCTCTGAGAATTTTTTCAAAATTTTTTATTAACTTTTTACTACTTCAAGAAAATGCAAGAAAATGCAATACTAAAAAGAAATTATTGAAACCAATAATTTTGTAGATATTTTCGCAAATATCTTAAAAAATAGGGGTCGTATGAAAAAATTTTTCAAACAAAAATTGTTTGTTTCTTTACGTAGAATAAAATTCCGTAATAAAAAAATACATATTTCTATCTAAAAAAGCAAAGTTAACCTTGACCAGACCTTGGCGACGCCACCCAAGGTCAGACTAACCAGATCAATAAATAGATCATTAAAATCCTACAACTATTATATATGTAGGAAATATATACAATTCTATATATATAACTATTATATATATAGGAAACATTTCTTTCGGAAATGCTTAGTTTTCGAGATATTTCAACGGTCCAGGACTTTTTATTCGCCCTATTTTGAGCTCTATAAATTCAACATTGACCTAATATTTTATGCTGGTCGAGATTGAAACTGAATGAAATACTTGAAAGTAGTAATATTTATTTGAATGCAATATCTGTTTTCCTGTGTGTATTGAGAGATTCTCGCCGAACATTCCTAGAAATTACATGCACGTAATCTGGCAATCGAATTGCTCAGGTATGAAGTTGCAGCAATTAAAGCACTAAAACAGTTAGCAACGTTTGTCTCGATCTGCTACGTTAACTCTGTCGCCATTAATGTCCATTTGGCTCCTTTGATCAGCGTTCCGTGTTCGATAGTCGTGTGACAAATCGTCGACGGTCGAAATCGCCCCGTTAATTTGGCGAGAACGTCGGAATTACTGATATCGTTCCCACAAATGAGACGAAAAGAGATCGCTTCGCTATTATGTAAGTTGAAAACTTTTCGTTCGAATGATGAAGTAAGTGCTCTCAGAGTTATTTGGATTTGAGGAATTTATACATTTAAAACAAAATATTTAAATTTATGCAGAAATTTAATGTAATATTTATCGCAGTAAAACACGTTCATAATTAAAGTTTCATGCGATTTGCCTGCACCGTTCATGAGAAATTTATTACTGAATATTATAATTTTTCACTTATA